CACACACACACACACACACACACACACACACACACACACACACTTGTTTTTATATCCTTGTGGGGCCCGTCCATTGACTTCCACAAGGAGCACCCGGACCCCACGAGGCTGCGTTTTCCTTAAAACTGGGCCCCACAATGTAGGAAAAACAAGGACCCACACACACACCAGTTCCATCAACCCACAACGTAGGAAATACCAGTCCCCTTGGGAAAACACTGGTTATATTCCAATAGAAAAGCGTCAATAAGAGAATCATTAAAATAATGTATTGATAAGCAATGTCGATAAGAGTAGTAGCAATGATAAAATCTTAACGATAGCTATCTCTAGTCTTTATGTGCACCTGAATTCAAGCTGAATCCATGCTCTCCTTTCTTAAGCTTAGACATAAGCCCCTCTCACATTTGGTTTAACTTAACGTCGGAATGTTCAATCAGGCTCAAATTGCAACCATTACTAAAAAAAAAAAAAACGTCCAAAGCTTTCATTTCTTAGAAACTAATTTTCTCTCCATGGTAGGCCAACAGGTGACACTGTCACTGAAAGACCACAACACACTCACACAAACAGTGGTTAGGAATGACTTTCCTGAAAGCAAAATTAAGATCAGCTGACACAGACAGCTGGAACCCATGCTGTATGACATAATGTTTGAAGGAAAGCCATGCTATTTAACACACACACACACACAGCCTTGTTATATAAAAGCAATTTAAAACACAAGTCAGAAGAAAGAGTAACACCCAAAGTTTCAATAGTAAGACATTGACATCATGTATTTTTGTATAACACAAAACTATTCAGCCACACACAGTTAAAACTCTGTAAGTGGAAACACAAGTAGAGAAATCAGGAGAGATACTCGGGTCACGAGGTTGATTGAGACACCTGGATATTACTTCACCAACAGGAATTTCAGTTTAAATCCTTAACCTGGAGGGAAAACACATTCTTTCATCTGATTTCAAATATGTTACCAAACTGCATGATTGAGGTGTACAAAAGTGACTTGAAACATCTTTATTCTGATCCCTAAACCTTGACCTGAGAGCAGGCATGTGCAGTTAAAGCTACAGGGACAGCTAAATGCCTCAAGAAATGAAATCAAGGCCAGCAAAGCTGCAAATCATTTGGTCTGAAAGAGCACATCTTTTTTTTCCAAGGGCTTGTGCACATGAAGTCACTTGAGGAACAATAAGAAAACCTCAGAAGTGAACAAAGCCTGTAGCAAGAGCTCTAGTTATTGCTTCTTTTTAAAAGAACTGAGCAAATATTTGATTATACGATTTGAGATCCGTTCAAGAAGAGACCATTGCCATGGCAGCAAGTGCATCTGCACTCTGAACTGAATCTCACAGCAGATTTCTACTTAATTTATTTCCATGTAGTTTTGAAAGAAGTTAATCTCTCTTATGAGTGCTGCTTTTGATGATTGGTTTCCCACATAGAGAGGAAAAACATTTTGATAAAGCAGCCTGATGGAATTTTTACAACTATTACGGAAATCTACTTTTCCAAAAATAAATAAATAATTTAAAAAATAAACAAGACATGCTGTTTTTTATTTTTATTTTAGCTATATAGGCAGCGAGCTGCCTTAATGTAGGCAGGAGTCGTAACATTACAAACATTTGAATCATTTTAATTGTGACACAAATATGGAGTACACCAAACTCGAAGGAAAAGTACTGAAAGTTGTACCCGACCATCCAGAAGTATGATGCTTAAGAAAAGAGGCAAGACAACAGAAAATGGTAAGCTAACGGCAGCTAATATTAGCTTGTTGTTGTTTGGTAGCTTGCTACAGTTGTTACACCAAAAACCATTGGTTGTTACACCATAGGTCAATCTTTATTTTACAGCCATGTGAACAGTCTAATGACAGGGAGCAATCCAAAGATGACCTCTACATTTAAATTTAAACATGGGTTGTTTTTGCAAGCTTTTACACCAGAAAGCTTTGTTGTAAATAAAACTTTAACTTCACCTCAGAAAATACAACAACAGCAAAAACAAGATTCAACTTGGTCCCAAATCTCCCCTCTTGCACCGTTAAGGGGAAATAAGGTTGAAATCAGGGCTAACTTGCTACGATTTTGGGGGAGCTCAGTGTTTTACGGTTTGGTTTTTGTCATTGTTGTTTTCTAAAAGATTAAAGGTCCTTGAAGGCACAGTTGGTCATGCAAAATACTTCAAGCAATATATTTTAAAAATTTTATGAAACAGGGCAACTCAAAAGCAGACATTCAGGACTACAGATGACACAGAAAGAAACCACAGTTTTTCCCATCAGTCAGTTGATTATCCAGCCATGAAAAGGGAGCCTGTCAAAGAAACACCCAAAACACAAAGGTCAAAGATGGAAAACGACCAGCTCTTAGTGTCTCTTTATGACTGCTCAGTCAGCAGTAACTAGACCATCACTTCCAGTTTTACGCAGCTGTAAAAGATCTAAAAGAAGCCAAAAAAACGTTAAAAATCTTTAACTTTTAACACTCTTTTTGTAATATTTTCAGAGACTGCACACGGGTAACAGCTCAGCTCCTGTCAGCCAGATAACAGATGCATAAAACCCAGCCCCCTCTGCAAACTACAAGTTTCCGAACTTCCCACCCCCAACACACTCCTCCCACCAACACCACCTTCCCATAAGCATGCTGACACTTGAGAAGGCGGCACCTCTCTTATGCATTCTGAAAGCCTTTCAAAGCGCTCAGTTCTATTCTTCTCCAACAAAACTCAGTCTGAAAGGAGGGAAAATGCCTTGTGCTGCACTGAACAAACTGAACCTGCAAAAACTACCAGAAAAGTCCTAAAAAGTTCATGATGACTGAGCCAAAAATACATTATTTACAGTGTATACTACAACAGTTCTATAAAATTGTTGCTGCACAGCAGCAATGGCACTGAACAGTGGTGATTTAAGAGCCCTGACGATGGGAAACACAGCATCCATTCATTCAAACCGAGGCACAGAAAGGCGCCATCCAGGCAACAAACAACTAGTATTGCAGGGAATCTGCTGGACAAACCTGGAGAGCAACCGAAAACAGTTTCCTCCAAGTCTTCCTCTTCATACAGCTGTGATCCACCTGCACTGCAGCGAGTCCTCTGCCAGCACCGATCGCTTTAACACGCCTCTACCAATTGAGGCTGAACTCAGTGCACAAATGGTGCTGCCCTCTCCTTCATGCCCCTCCCACAGTTTCGCCCTTTCCCCCTGTATTAGCACTCTTCCTATCCAACTAAAACACCGGCCACATTGGTATGTCTGCTGGGAAAGACAACGTTGTCTGACGCAGGCACTGCGAACAACTGGTAGGTAAGCAGAGAGGGAGGGAGGGAGTTTAGTGCACATATGGGGGAGGGGTGATTTAAATTCCCACATACATCACACAGCATGAGGTGACGGGGTCTTTTGTCAAACCGCTTCAATGAAGACATCAAAAATGTGTGTATTTCAACCATTCTTCCTCTCAAAATTCTGTAGTGCTTGGAGTTAAAACAAACCAGGAAACTAATGATAAAGTCCTGTTTTATAAATAATACTTTTACTTGCTCAGTTATATATTTTCTTTTTAGCTACCTATAGCTCTTGTTAACCCTTTATTTCTTCAAATTGCTCCTACTTTTTGCAACATTTCTGGATAAAATAAAGCCAAGTTCACACAATGTCTTTCACGTAATTTATGTACACAGCAGCACAGTTTTGGAAAACACCCATCATCAGTGTGAAATCACATTGCACAGTTTGGACGGCTGCGGTCAAGAGTTTTTCTGCACTTGAGTGAGTAAATGAACAGTAACAATGGTGGATAGCAGATTGCTGTTGGTGCTACTCATTCTTATCAACGTGTAGGAGCAAATCAACCTAATAAAACCTTACCTAATTTCCCTCTGGGATCAATAAAGTATTTTTGAATTGAATTGAACCTTGTCCAAATCAAGTTATGTATTCGTAAGGTGTGTGTATTCGTCATTTTAATGTAGATGTAATTGTTTTCATACTTGACACTGAATTGTCTGCACATATGCATGTCTAATAGAAAACCAAAAATCCCATTGCCAGCTAGTAGCATGGGAACTAATGCAGATTCAATACGTACAGCTTTACAGTGTAATAGGGCTGCAACTAACGATTATTTTAATAACCAATTAATCTGTCGATTATTTTTTCGATTAATTGATTAATCTGCCAAATCATTGAAACACTTACCGTAATTACATAAATATGAGTAGATATAAATTGATTTAATTCCTGTATAAATTAGGGATGCAAGTTATCGATTAATAAATGAATCTGAAGTTGATTTATCTTATAGATTGACTAACGATTAAGTGATAAGCAGCCATTTTCTAAAACACCAGAGTTTTCAATTGAGTCAAGAGGGTCTTTTCATAAAATAAGGATTTTTTAAAAATAATATGCTAAATTAAAAAAAGAAGCACATCACAAATATTTTCACAACTGATTTTGCCAGCTGTATTAAACAATGACTGGACAAAATAAACCCAAAAATGTGGATTTCTCATGCTATAAAACTTAACAAAACAGAAATACAGTATAATAGGTTTTTGAATGAGGAAAACCCTCATTCAAGGGTTTTCGGACTATAAGCCGCGCCTTTTTTCCTGAACTTTGAACCATGCGGCTTATAGTCCGGTGCGGCTTACACGTGGATTTTTTTCTTCAGCTACCAGGGGGCTCTTTAGCCGGAGGTGCATTTACAAGGGTATATTACATAAAAAGAATAAAATATGATTTTTTTAGATGTAAATTTATCATTAATTTATTATTACAATTAGAATTTAACTGCATTTAGAATTTATGATTTTTCTCTAATTATTTACGTTTTGCTTCCTTCTGGTTCTGTCTGACTGAATGACCCAGTAAGAGGTTCCGAGCCTCCCCCCTCCCCTACTGAGTCAGACCAGGAGTTCTGCTGCGTCGTTTTTTTTCTTCTTCTTCTTCGTTCTGAACGTTTTTACTGCTTATCAAATAACGTTGAGCCTTGGTCAGAAAAAAAGACTGGAGGGTTTTATATTTCTGGCCCGAGAGGAGGAAAGAAAAGGTGGACTGAGGTACTTTTTTTTCGCCACGAGACACGTTTCCTCCTCGCGACGCGCCTCGCATCAAATCCGTCATTTAAAAAAATTAAATGTACTTTTTATCAAAACTTTGGATCTACTTGGCCTAACAACACAATTTAAAAACTGGTTTAAAGTTCGGAGTCTCTACTTTTCACTCGAGGGGCTAAGAGGGAGCGGATCTTTACAGGTAGTTTTTTTCTTCCTAAACTTTATTTAGGTCAGCCAGCATTGACACCACTCTGAGGGTGACGTAAACGGCTCCATGACATGGTGAGGGATACATAAATGGCGTGACACAACGAATCGACAAAGAAATTCATTGCCAACGCTTTTAATAATCGATTTTTATTGATTTTATTGATTCAATCTTGCAGCACTACAGTGTAAAAGTGTTATTTTCATGTTTGTTTTCTTCAATCAGCATTGTTGTTTACATGCAAACAGAGTAAAAAGGAAATATATATAT